AGAGATGGTGGGATTGACTCCCATGGTTGGCATCCCACACTGGAGGGGGAATGGTGGGATTGACTCCCATGGTTGGCAGCCCACACTGGAGGAGAGATGGTGGGATTGACTCCCATGGTTGGCATCCCACACTGGAGGAGAGATGGTGGGATTGACTCCCATGGTTGGCATCCCACACTGGAGGGGGGGTCACTCCCATGGGTTGGCAGCCCACACTGGAGGGGAGATGGTGGGATTCACTCTCATGCTTGGCAGCCCACACTGGAGGGGAGATTGTGGGTTTCACTCCCATTGTTGGCAGCCCACACTGGAGGGAAAATGGTGGGGTTGACTGCCCATTCAGCAGGAATGTTGTTGGAGCTACTCCCATGGTTTATTGTGGAGATTGTCTCCTACAGTCTGGAGACCGACTCCTACAGGTGGCTTCCCACTCAGCAAGATGAATATCGGATCAATCCCCCATGGTTGACAGCCCACACTGGAGGAGAGATGGTGGGATCATCTCCCATCGTTGGCTACCCACACTGCAGAGGTATTGTGGGATCAACTCCCATAGTTGGCTGATTGTGGAGATTGTGATACTGACTCCTACAGGTGGCTGCCCACTCAGCATGTTGACTACCGAATCGATCCCCCATGGTTGGCTACCCACACTGCAGAGGTATTGTCGAATCAACTCTCATGGTTGGATGATTGTGGAGACTGTGAGACTGACTCCTACAGGTGGCTGTACAATTCTTCCTGCTTGACAGGCACGCTGCAATCAGAGAATGGCATTCTGATGGATATGAATGTAAAGCTGTCAGTCACGTTTACAGTTTCTGCTCTCAGTACTCATACACAAGTCAGTGTCTTCATTGTGGTAATAAGTATCAGATTACCACATGATAACTGGAATCTAATGATTTCCATTTATTTTTAGGATATTAATGAGCTAGAAGAGATTAAACAGAAGCTTGCAGAAGATGGTTTAGATGGAAATGCTAGCAACGATGACAAATTGCGGCATATTTGGCGACTCTACACAAAAGCCGATAATGGTTTACAGACGTCACTCAAAGATGTGGAACAGTTGCGTATCCAACAAACGCAGGAAATGCAAGAAGTAAGTAAATGTAAATCATGCCAATTGTCTTCTGATGCTATTTCTTCCTGTATATCCAATTAGGCTTCCATATCAGGTGATGTGTTAACCTTTTCATCACCAGACTTAATTGCTCAAATTATTCTGCACGTTTTCTTTATATTCTTCAATGTTTTTAGAAATGGACCCTAATTTTTGAGCCAACAGAAGAAATTTGAGTCAAGTTTTGTGGCTATTTTTGTTTCAATCTTCTGAAAGAAAGTGCTGACTATATAAACAGGATTATTTGTGAATTTGTGATGAATCACTTGTACAAGTACAATTAGAAACTCACTCCCAAATTTTGGTTATAAGCTTTGTAAACACGTTTTCACATCAATTTTACTTACAGGTTGAGAACTATGTTGAACACATTAGAAGTTTATCTCATGAACGGGAACAGTTAACCGCAGAGTTTGAAGCTGAAAATGAGAAATTAAAATCTGAAAATGAACAACTTCGAAATGAATTAGTGGATGGTGCTAATAGTGAGATCACGCAGATGTTAATGCAGGTCAGTTATTGTTTGCTTGACACTAGATGGCGCTATGTTTTAAATAAAGTTGTGCGTTTATTGTACCATTTCAGTTTTGTTGACAATAATTTGACAGTTACATGTAATTGTTAAATTATACTGCAGTGCATTAATTATTCACTGGGTTTTAATATCGCTATTTTTGCTGATAAGTCAAATCTGCTATTAAAATTAAATCTACGCGAACATGTAAAATAACAATAAAACTCATTGTTTCCTTGACAAATTCATGAAAAAAACAGTGATTTTGCTCAAAACAAAAATAGTAAAAATAAATGGTTTTACAGTATTAATAGTTGACATAGCAGGGGTTTCATTAAGAGCTGGCCGCCGACCATATGGCCTGCTACAAGCCCACATTGGCCGCCTACTCTCCTGATTGCTTTGCACTGCCAAGAGTCTTTTTATTTATTTTTTGACCTGTTGTTACAGGATGATGGCCTGCTATTAAATACATTTGTGAAACCCCTGCACAGTTATAATAAAATTCATGGTCTTTGAAAAGTTGCTAAAATTAATATCTCACCTGACATGTTATTACATTTCTGAAACTCTCACTTGCCAAATGCAGCAGCTTATTTTACTCTTAACCTTTTTATTTTTATTTACTGGTAGTATTTTTTTTTCTTATTTTTGTTCGAAGTATTTCTTCATTACTTTTGTGCCTAAGATGAAGTTAACATTGTTATTTCATTATGGTGTTATAATATATTCAAATATTTTCAGATATTTTCAAATTACAACTATTTCTAGATATTTTCAAATCAAAATTATTTCCAGACATTTTCAAATCACACATATTTCCAGATATTTTTGAATCACAACTATTTCCAGATATTTTCAAATCAGAATTATTTCCAGTTATTTTCAAATCACAACTACTGGTAATTCCAGACATTTTAAAATCTCAACAACATGTATATCCAGATACATGTGTATGTTCATCACTACCTGTTCATCATCATGCACATCACTAGGAAACCCGGATTGCACACATTTGTTTGGTAATTTGACACACTTGTGAAGTACACCATTGTTTTACTAGAAAGTGTGGTAAAATTCAATACAGATAACGCTGTACATTACACAAACTCAACTGCAAAACCCAGGTAACAAGTTTGGAAACTCATTTATTGATTACATACCGCAGTAAATAAAAACACTGCCATATACTGTTTATTCAATAATAAAAATGAATAGTATTAGAGATTGATAATTATGATATTTATGTATTTAATAAATGTTACACATTGAACATGGATCTTGTTAGAAAATCTTACAAAAAACATTAAAGCAGGGGACTCGTCACATGCGAATGTATCAGATGGCCATAGTGTGTCATTGTTTATCCATGAGCCTTTGCATTTTTAGCATTCGTTGTTATCGTCAATTGGCGCTCAATTCTTGCATGTGCACCCTTCCGCTTTAACACATTGTCTGCTGGCTTTTCCCATTCATTTCAGCAGGTGATGAATTAAAACTATATAATTTTTTCACTTTTCCCCGGGACAAGCTACAAAATCTTCAATGATATATATATAACATAATTTATATGTCTGTCACACAACAGGAAGGACTTGAAGACGTAGCCAATGGAACAACGAGTGAACAAATAGCGTACTTATTAGTTGAACGGGCCAGATTGATGGACGAAGTTGATATAGAAAGAAAGCGTGTTGATGACATAGAAGCCAGTCAAGGTTTCCCAGATGATTATAGATTGCAAGAAACTATACGCAAAGAAAGAGAAGCATTTGAGGAGGAAAGACAAAATTTTAAAATGACAAAAGAAAGTTTACAAAGGGTAGGTTTAAAATACTACACAGGTGATCAGGTTTTAGAGGCAGCCATATTGGATTATTCCATTTCAAGTTGGGGTAGAAAGATGATTCTAATGCTTTATAGGGCTAAGAGCTGTGTTTTTGCCTTTCATTGAACAGTTTACTCAAAAATATGGAAGCAAGTGATAATCTTGTGG